AAGAAACTAAAAGAGGGGGCTGGAGAGATGGCTTAGCAGAGACCCTGTCTCAAAAAAAAAAAAGGTAACAGATACATATAAACAAAATATAATGTATCCACATGAGGGAATAATACTTTTAAAAATTTTCTTTATTATTCTCATTTTATGTTTATGAGTGTACTGCCTGCATGTATGTAAGTGCACCCATGTTGTGCAATGCCTGCGGAGGTCAGAAGGGAGTGTCTGTTCTCCTGGAACTGGAGTTAGGACAGTTGTTAGCTGCCATGTGGGTGTTGGGATTCAAACCCGGATCTTCTGCAAGAGCAGCCAGTGCTCTTAATTGCTTAGCCATCTCTCCATCGCTTGCAGTTTTTTTTAATAAGAAAAATGCAATATATAAGAGATGGTGATATGTGGTCTGGAGAAAAACCCAACAGTGAAGGAGGATGGGGGGAGTCCTAGGTGGGGAGGGTGATACCACATCCCATGGGGAAGGAGACAGCTCAGCATTCTGGAGCGAAAGAGAGCAAGCTGTGAAGACAGCTGGGGAAGAGCACTGAAGCACAGGAAACCGCACATGTGAAGACCTTGAGGTGGGGTGGGCGGACCTGGCATGGCTGAAAACCACAAAGGGACAGATGGACAGCTGGGTAGGCCTCCTAAAGTCGGAGATCTGCCCACCTCTGCTTTTCAATTATTAAAATACTAAGGGTATGTGTCACCATGCCTGGTCCTCTTTTTTTTTTTTAAGTTTTTAAAAATTTATTTTTATAGGACAGAGTAGTGGTCCGTGCCTTTAATTCCAGCATTCAGGAGGCAGAAGTAGGCTGATCTCTGTGAATTTAAGCCAGCCTTGTCTATATTTTATGTTCCAGACCAGCCAGGGCTATATAGTGAGGCCATGTCTCAAAAAACAAACAACAATGAAACCAAAGATTTAATTTTGCTTTTCATTTGTGTGTATGTGTGTCTGTGTGTGGTTGCCCATGGAGGCCAAAAGATGGTATCTGACCCCCTGGAGCTAGTATTACTCATGGCTGTGAGCCACCCAACATGGGTGCTGAGAACTAAACTTAGGTCCTCTGGAAGATGTGCTCTTGACTGCTGAGTCATCTCTCCGATCCCATAAAATTTATGATTGGTGGTGTGTGGTGTGTCTAACGCATATGTGACGTGGGGGGTGCCCATGTGGAGGTCAGAGGACAGCTTTGTGGAGTCAGTTCTCTCCTTCCACCTTTATATGGATTCTGGAGCTCAAACTCAGGTCTCCAGGCTTGTACAACAAGCACCTTACCACTGAACCGTTTCATCAGCCCTACTGGTCCTGAAATTTATCCAGAAAGAAAGAGGAGGACACTCTAAATAGGGGTATGACTGGTGAATGGACTTAGGATTTGGACAGAATGAAGGCATTGTCCTACAGTGTTACAGTTAAAGAAAGTAATGCTCAGAGGCTAAATAGCTTGCCCCAAGTCACACAGCTGGCCAAAGGTGGTGCGCTAGATAGCAGTGATTACCACTGTGCTGCCAATTGCTGGTTGCTCCCTTCTCTCTCATATTGCCTCCCCTCTCTGAATACAGAGCTCTTCTAGGCTCTGTCCTCTGCCTTACTTACCTTCAGATGGGCTGCAAAAGGCTGTGGCACCCTGTAGGCTGGCCATTTCACCACACTTCTCCAGATTATCCTCCAGGGGCATGGTGTGGCTGCTGTTGCCCTCTGAATAATCCTGCTGGCTGCTCAGGGTCAGAGTAGAGGTGTCACTCACCATAAAGCTTGAGTCTACGCTCAGAGACTCTGAGCCCAAGATCAGTGTCATGCAGGAGGAGCGAGAAAGAGTGGAATTGGGTGCCTGGGCACTAGAGTGCTGGCTGAGACCCTCACTGGAGTTAGGAATCAGGCTGACACGTGAGGTTTGAGTGACAGTCACATTCAGACCAGGCCTGGGCTGGCTGTTGGAGATCACATTGATGGACGCCTTGGGGTCTGTCCTGCAGGTTGCACTCAGTGCTTCTTTGGAAACAGATGCAAAGATGCTACGTGATGTCAACATGATGGCCTCATTTGGGTTTGGGCCTATACCTAGGTTCAGCTTAGAGATGTTTGCAGAGTGCATGCAGTCTAAAGAAGAGCTGGAGGCTTGAAGAAGGGGCACTTGTGAGCCCTGCCTGGAGATACTGTGGCCCCGGACCAGGGCGTCTCTGGAAAGGGCCCTCACAAATGGGTTTGGCTCACATTTGCAAGGATTGGAGTTACACTGGCCCAAATCAAAAGCTTTGTTTGAGAGGGACTGGGGAACATCCTCAGAGCCCAGTTTAGAAGTGTTCCTTGGACTCAGAATAGTGGTCTGGGTAGAGCTGAGATTCTGAACTGGATATGAGGCTGAGCAGAGTTTCTCTGCTGAGCCAGGCCTGGAGATGTGGTTCAAGCCCTGGTCCATATTTTTCACAGAGCAGCTGTCAATCTGGAGGGAGGCACTGGGGCTGGGGATGTCATCAGACACTAGGCCAGGGACCCCCTCTAGGCCAGGACTCAGAGCTGGATGAAGAGGTGGAGTGAGAGCCAAGCCAGGAGTAGAGGGAGGAGCATGGGCCTGATCTGGGGTGGGCCCAGGCATGGTGCTGGAGACTATCCTTGGCACCTCACAGGAGTTAGGACTTGGTGTCGTCTCTGGGTCTTCATGCAGGGCCATGTCCAGTCTGGAGGTTGCCCAATGTCACTGTCCCTTCTCTTCAGTTGCTGACTGCCGGGCTCCCTGTAACACTCCTGAGAGAGAGGATGAATGCTACCTGCTAGAACCTTGCTCTGGGTCCCTGTCATCCTGAGGCTGAGGGCCTCTTACTGTGATTTATGGGGCCTTGGTGGCCATGTCCAGCCCACCTTCCCAACCCCATCACATACCACTTTCCCTTCCTCGCTCTCTCCATTCCATATCATAGATGGTCTTGTCTCTGACCACACCCTATTGCCCCTCACCTTGTACCATGAAGAAATGAATGCCTTTGGCTTGTAACCTTCCATTATCCTTTGTCAAACTCACCTCTCCTACCAAAAAATTCATCCTTTTTCATTCTAATGACTTACCGAGTTGTCTGGCCCTTTAGAGACAAGATCTAGGTGTCAGGAACTGTGGGTATCCTAGCCAGGCATAGTGGCTCTCACCTGTAATTCCAACACTCAGGAGGATGAGGCAGGAGGCTAGTTTGAGGTCAGCCTTGGCTATATAGCAAAATCCTGTCTCAAAAAATGAAATAAAGAACTAAAAGAGAGGGGCAGGGGAAGGGAGGGAGAAGAAAATTAGAGAAGCAAGAGGAAAGAAAGGGGAGGGGAAGAAGTGTCTCCCAGCACAGTACTATCTATAAACAGTCGAAGTCTATAAACAGAAAAATGAGGAATGTCTCCCACTTAAAGGTAGAAAAGGAGAAGGAAGCACTTTCTTTTGGGTTACCCAATTTTCAACCAGCCCCATGTGACTTGGTGACCTCAGAGTCTTGGGAGCTTGGGGTTATCCAAGACAGAGACAAACTCCTAAGTCATTAGAACTACTCTGAAAGTGGTCACAGCACTGAGTCTCAAATCCATCTTGACAGAGTTTCCTATAGACCTTCAGGAGAGCACACAACCATCACCAAAATGGGACCTACTTTGCCCAGCACTCTGTGGGTGAAGTCCTCCATCCTCTGCCTACCTGGCTCCATCCCTGGGCCACCCCACTGCAGGAATTTTAGGGGAAGCTTACCTGCAAGCATGGTGTTCTTAAGCAGGAGTGGATCCCTGAGAAGAAAACACAGAGGAAATCAAGGCAAGGCAAGAGCAATTAAGACCATCTCTATGCCACCCACCCCCTGCTAAACTCATCCATGGCTTCCTGTTGTCCTTAGTAGAGTCCTCAGTTGTTAGCAGAACCCAAAAGGCTCTTCTGTATCAGATCCCCCTTTACTGTGCAAGGCCTCCCTGTAGCCTCTAATATCCCTCTCCCTCTCCATTCCATCCTGGAAGGTCTGGGCCTTCCACAGGCTGGTCACCTCTCTCCCACCTTCCTCCCCTGCCAGGTAACACAGGTTCCCCAAATAAGTAAAAGCCACCAGTAAGCTCTCAGGGCATCTTGATCCCTTCCCTTTCCCTGGCACACACAGTTTCTGGCTTCCCCACTAGGCTCAATGCAAGCAGGAACTTTACTTGCTCACTGCTAATTTCTAATGTCTAACATAGCGCCTGCCACACAGGATATGTTCTGTAACATTTGGGTTCATGGTTTTACCTATTGTCTGTTTAGTCATCCATTCTTTCACTAGCTCACTTCCATACCCGTTAGCTTCTCATTCATTCACTCACGCAGGCACTGGTTCCTGGAATCATTTGTTCATTCCACCAACCTTGCCTGGGCATCTGTATGACTTGGCTTTGGAAGCCATCTAGTCTTGACTTCATATGCCAGTTTATCTTACTAGTCTGAGTGAACCTGGACAAGAGACAGGGCCCTGTCCTCTTCAAGGGTACAGCTCTCTCTCTCTCTCTCTCTCTCTCTCTCTCTCTCTCTCTTACTCACTCACTCTCACTCTTGCTCTCGCTCTCATCTTGCCAGTGTCTGTAGGGGGCACACGACCTACAGAAGGCTTTTGATATGTCACCCTTTCTAGTCCTCTCGGGCAGAGGCTGTGGCAAAGGCAGTCAGGACTTCAGTGACCTCGTACTTTCCAAGCACTGGTCCCTGTGAAGCAGGCAGCTGCCTGGAAAGAAACTGAAAATCTCAGGGCTCCTTGATTTCAAGTCCCTTGCCAAAGCCCTGGACTTAAATTGCTGTTCGTAATTTTTTTTCTCCTTTTACTTGATGAAGACTGTATTTTCCCTTGCTTGAATGTTTATCGCTCTCATGTACATAGGCACCTACACACATACACACACACCACCACCACCACCACCACTACCACCACACACCATACACCACACATCATACACAGGCCTTAGCTATCAAAAGGAAGCATTTTTGACCTGGAAAAACAAATTGGTGCAGCCTACAAGGCAGTGAGAAGACCTAGCAGATAGTCTCAACCCTGGCTCATCCCCCCTTTTTCACCAGACAGATCAACTGTCTTCAATATGCTCATGTTCTGTCTGCCCTCCTCCTCCATCCTTGCCACCGGTGAGCAAATCTTCAGAGCTGCCTGAAAGTGTGAAGCAATTCGTGGGTTGCCCTCCACATGGATGCTGCTGTTAGAAAAGCAGGACTGTCACACATTCGTAACCCCAGCACTTGGGGGTTGAGAGGCAGGAGACTTCAAAGCCAGCGAGACCTGGCTTCAGAAAAACAAAGTGCCTGTATTTAATGTATATATTTTGATGAGTCTGGACATGTGCATATATGTGACCATTATAATCAAAGTACTAAACATACCAACTCCAAATTCCTTGTTTTGGTGGGCTTTATATGTGTATGCTCCTGTGTATGTAAAAACATTTAATATATAGCTGGATGTGGTGGGACATACCTATAACACCAGCACTGGGAGACTGAGGCAGGATGATCACCACGAGTTCAAGGCAACCCTGAAGCCTGGAGTACCCAGTGAGTTCCAAGCCAAGCTGAGCTACATAGGGAGACCATGTCTCATAAACAAGCAAACAGGCAACAAAAAGAAGCCTTGATATATGATCTGGTCTCTTAGAGTTAGGTGTGGTAGTGAATGTTCGAAATCCCAATATTCAGGAGGCTGAGGTAGGAAGATCACAAGTTTGAAACCAGCCTGCACTACAAAATAAGACTTTGTTTCAAACAACAACAAAAAAGTTGGGCATGGTGGCTCACATCTGACCTTGTGAGGGTGAAATAAGAAGAGTACTGGGACTTTGAGTCCAGCCTGGGCTACATAATGAGTTCCAGGCCAACCTTGTGTAACAGAAACTTTACCTACTGAGCAACAACTCCCGGCTCCTCCTCCCTCTGATTTACTAAATGTTGAAAACCTTGTCAGATGGACTCAATAGTACAGCAGAGGTAACAGAGGACAGAATCCTGAACTCAATGGCAGATTGTTAAAATCCATTTAATCTAGCCAAGCATGGCGATACACATCTGTAATTCTAGCATTTGGGAGTTGGAAGGCAAGGGGAACTGGAGTCAAGTTCCCATACATATTAAGTTCGAGCCCAGCCTGGGGTTACATGTCTCAAAAAACAAAATAAATAATGAATTAAAAATAAAATGTACTTAATCTGAACAGGAAAAAAATAACAAACCTCAAGGTCCTGTGGCACAATAACAGAGTATCTAACATTAGAGTCCCAGGAGGAGAGAATGAGTTGAAAAAACATTCAAAGTAATAATGACTAAGAACTTCTCAAATTAGTAAAAAACACAAACATACAGAGTCAGAAAAAGTGAGCAAACCTGGACTAGATCTAAAGAAATCCATGCCCAAATCACTAAAGACAAAAACAAACAAAAAAAATATTGGGGGGGTTATTTTGTTCATTTTGGTTCTTTGAAACTTACAATATAACCAAGGCTGACTTAAAAGTTACTGTGTCGCTTAGGCTTGCCTGGGACTGGAGATCCTTCTAACGGAGTCTTCTGAGTGCTAGGGCTGAGATATGCACCACCATGTCAGCCAACCACACACACAAACACACCCAGACACACCCAGACACACCCAGACACACCCAGACACACACACACATACACACACACACACACACACACACACACACATACACACACTCTCTCTCTCACACTCTGAAAACAGAGTATTAATGATGGGTGAATGGCAATTTGAATGACAGCAAGGGCAAATGACAACTCTTTAAGAATCTCTGTCCTCCTTTACTAGCAGGTTGAGAAGTCTGAAGCAGTTTTTGTGAAATCCCCAAGAAGTGGCAAAGATGGGATTAAAATTAGGTCCTTTCACCAAGTGTGGTGGCGCACGACTTTAATCCCAGCACTCAGGAGGGAGAGACAGGTGGATCTCTGTGAGTTCAAGGCCAGCCTGGTCTACATATTGAGTTCCAGCTACCTGGGGTTACAGGGAGACCCTGCTCAAAAAAAGACCTAATTGATAAATTAATTAAAATCAGGTCCTTTCAACCCACACTTTCCCCCATTGCACCACAGGTATGTCTAGGAATCACTCATCCCTTGATTCCTCAGCCACTCTTGGATCTTGACTGTAGGAGAAAAGCTTGATGAGTGGGAAAAATTCCCGATTCCCAACTAGAATAACCAACTCCAGGGCCAGGCTGGGATTGGAAACCTGCTGTTGTCAACCACTATGTGAACATGCCCAGGCAGTCTTGCCACTCAAGTATCTCTCTCCATGGTTCAAATAAGAGAGCCCCCATGAAGGGATGCTTACAGTATCCGTCAGTCAGCCGTCCACAAATATCTATCTGCACTATCCTTCCTCCCCTGTGTGAGAGAAGGGAGTATGGTTCCAGGTCCTCTGCCTCCTCTTCTCCCAGTCTATGACATCTCAGCTTGGTCTTCTCACTCTCTTTCCCCTACCTTCCCTGTACTCCCACTCCTCACTCTCAGGACTTGATAGCTAAATTTTCTCTGTGAGCCTTGAGCTGCTGCTGTGTTACCTCTGCCTAGGACACCCATATGGTAGCAGAAAATTCAACTTTAATCCCACAGTATGAAGTCTTAACTGAAATTACAGCCAGAGAGGGAGACTTTTACCTAGGGGGAATGGGGGTCGAGGTGGTAATGCCTTGGTCTCCACACTTGTGGGGGCTATACTTTCCCAGAGCCAC